CAATATCAGTTTTTGTATATTTGGTTGAATGTTTCAGAAGAGTTTGAATTATTTTATCAAATAATACAAAATTATATATTAACAATGCACTTTATTCTAACAAGTTTAGAAAAAAAATGTTTAGTTTTAAAAATATTCGTTATAATGAATATCACATTGAGATGAATCAACCAGTATTACGAACTCGAAGTTCGTAATCCCAAAAATATGTTATACTTTGGCATGAGTAGTTGGACCTTCACTGAGTCAATAATGATGAAAAATTGAGAATTCAATTGACATTCAACGAAGAACCAAAAGATTCTTCAATCCAATAAATTCCTATATAATATTTGTTCTCTCTTTATAATAAGTCATTAATCATCACTAGGTAAATCAAGACTTAATTCCCTATATTTCTGAAATTAATTAGGATGATATATGGTTCCTTGTCGCCCTTTACATTGACCATCTAGATATTATTTGTATCTAATAGATTTGATACACATATTAGATGATTGTATAGTGTTCTCAACTTGAAGTTTACGAAATTACTATTCGAATTTTAAATTATGATCATAATTTTCATATAATGCAATCAAGATGGTGGGTCTTGTCAATGTTAGTGAGTCTGCATCCCGACTTTGATATAAGTTGGTTGGAATATCGATAAATGGGCTAACACTATTGCTCGTTAAACGCTTTCCATCAATTTCTTAATCATTGCTATTGAGAAAAAAAATACTTCCTATTTCTGTTTAGGGAATACTATTACGCATCATGCCAACATCATAGTTCTCCCTTATATGAGTTTGCTTATAGTCATAGCATAATTTTTCCATCAAATTATTTTGATAATGTAGTATATGTAAAATTGATCAACCACAATGCATTGAGGTAGAAATTAAAGAATTTTAAGAATAAATGAGTAGTTTGGACCTTTATCTCAAATGGGTGCTATCTTTTAACGTGTTTTGCTGATTGTCAATTTGATTGAACAATTTTTGCAGCATTAGGGAAGGAAATAAAAATTTGAAAATAATGTACAAATGCACCATTATCTATATCTTCGTAACAGACAATTCGAATAAGAAGTTCGAAATATAAATTTTTTAGATGCATTTATTGACGAAAGAAATCAACAATATCTCACACACCAATTTTAAATACTCCAACTCGAACTATCATCTTAGATGACAATTAGTTATTATTATATTTGATAAATTTATAGCATGCCTAAAATGTGATGATATTCTATTCTAATACAAAAAAAATCTCCAAACGAAAATGGAGAAACTAGTAAAGATGGTCCCATCAAGAAGGTATTTACTCTTGATGAGTGTTTAGACATAACAAATTATAAAATCTCATAAGAGGTCAGGTATCTATAATGTTGAAAATTGAAATATCTTAATAAGTTATGTCATTAATAGAAAAGAATAGAATTGAAAAAGAGAAAGTTGTCGACAATACTCATGCACATGATGTACTATATCATATAGTGAGGAATTGAAATAAATGTGTCGAAATATATCGATCAAAGTATTGATTGACCAAATAAAAAGGACGCAATTCTAAATTGAATTTACTAGAGAAACGTAATGTTTCAAGACATGTAGTTAGAAAATCTAAAAATATATATTTATGCGAAAAGGAAATAAGAAAAGTAAAGTTGTAATCTGAAATGTACAACTCTTTACATAATGAATTTTGTTAAGACTTGTATAAATAAATTATCATGTGACGGATGTAGTCAATAATCTTTATTTTATTAGTCAACAATGTATGGAATTTGATTTGTATATAATAATATGATTATAGCAAACTTATCTTATATATTTTTAGTACTATTCTTGAAGGATTTTATGCTTGAAACATATAATTCAAATGATATTATTATGAGGGGGAATAAATAAGCGTTGTACTTTTTTTTCCCCCTTGATCAAGGTTTTGTCCCATTAGGATTTTTCTGACAAGATTTTTAATGAGACAACTTTTGTAGTATACTAAAAAAAATTTTGTACTCTTATTCCTTCATTAGGATTTTCCCATCAATCATGCTACATGTACATTTTATTTGACATCATTTTTACATTGTGTCACGTGTCGTAGCATGATTGGAAATTTTAAAAAAAAAACACACACACACTTTCCTACCCAACATATTTTGAATTCCCAAGCAATATCAAGAAGAGTGTACAACATGGAATGTATACTTAGCGTAATTCTTTTTCCTACATGGTTTTTTCTAATAAGATTTTGACTAGACATATTTTTTGTGTAATAAATGCCCATATCATAAAAGATATTTATTGTCAAAATAATACTCTTATATATATGACACTTTTGAAGAGATCTACAAGAGTTATTTTTCAGATCATCATGTTATTACAATCATCAAATGTTGATAAATATCTCATATGAATATGGTATTATTTAAAGACTATACAAGACAATATGAGACCTACTTCACAAAAAAATTGTAATATTGAAGACTTTGATGTACAAGACAATAATAAATTGATACAAGAATTGAAATCAGGGGAGCAGTTGTACTCCTTTTCATTTGATCAAATTTTATCTCATTGAATTTCTTTGACAAGATTTTAAAGAGATAGATATTTTGTAATGTATTATTCAAGGAGTGCTGTAAATAATATGATTATTAGTGAATGTCAATTATACCCTTACAATCCTAGTTTTTATTACTAATGCAGTCCAATTTTTTCTCTCTAGTTTATAATGCAGTCCAATTTTTTCCTCCTAAACACAACTAGATCATCTAATATGCACTATTTATATTAACAAGACAAGTTTGGGCATGACCATTTAATTCCCAATTTAATTCTTTTATGTTCTCTCTTCATAGCGAGAGTGTAATTCAATTGCATGATTTGCGCGATCCAATATTCAACAGGAGATGAAGAAATTTAGGGACCCTTCAGGAGTGCCAGTGGGCAAATCTGAGCTTAGCTTGTATTCACAAATTAGACTTGACCTTTGACTCGTAGGATTCATGTGTAGAGCCAAGCTTTCCACAAGCCGACTAGTTTATTTTTATTATAAAAAAATAAATAAAACAAGACAAAAAATGAGTGACCCCACGAGTCCAAAATGAGCGGACTCCTGCCTCGTGAACATGAAAAAAATTGACTTCGGCTCGATCCACAACATGTTTCAATGAGTCAAAATCATCCATGAATCAAGTCAATCCATTTGCCATCCGTAGGACTCTCCAATAAATTCCAAGCACCTGATTTCAAAGTGCATCGTCCTTCCCATATAGACCACTGCACATTACCACCGTGATATTCTTTTAGCATTGCGGTACATCCACGGTCAGGGGCGGAGCTGGGGGGGACCTGGACCCCCCCAAATTTTGACAATTTTTTTTTTTATTAAATTTTTTTTTTTTGGTTCTTTTTGTATTTACCATTACCATTTTATCTTCAAATTGAATAAAAATCTTAAACCTTACTAATTTCATTTTTCGTTTCCGTCTTCAAAGTATGAACTTGAAAGAAACACTTATAATAAGGTATGATTTTGCTAAATTAAATATTGGTACTTCTTTTATATGTTTTTTGATTTTTTTGTTAATAAGGTATCCAAAAAAAAAAAAA